ACCTGAAACTTGGCTTTAATGCTTTTTTATAAAATTAGTGATATACATACCTATTTCAACATTTTACAAAATTCTACCTCTTTAGGAAGCTGAAAGGGGTTTGCAAAGATTGCATGTTTGTTTTTGGTCCGATTTACTTGAAACTGGTTAAAAAATTCAATCTCTGTTGGGGTGGATGAGTGGTAAAGAGGAGTTGCAATGTTTAAATAGAACATATATTATTTGTGGTCAGATTTACTTGAAACTTCGTTTTAATGGTCTCTCATTTAATTTCTGTAAGATCTATCTGGACATCTTAAAAAAGGGGAAGGTGTTGCAATTTTTGTTTGGGACATACTTTATTTGTGGTTGAATTTACTTGAAACTTCGTACATATGCTATTTGATATTATTATTCAAACGAAAAGAGGTTGCAAAGTTTCCATGGGGTATATTTTATTTGTACTCGGATTTACACGAAGGTGGCTCATTGCTAAGCAAATACGTGTTTTGGCAATTTTTAAAAATCAACCCTTAAGGATAAAATGATGTTGCTACGTTTGTATTTGAAATCTAAGATAGCGACATTAGATAAAATTAGAACTTTGTAAGGGTGAATTGGGAGTTACAAGGTTTTATGGAGAAGCAATATTAATAACTACGAGCGAAGCCGCGGGGAAAAGCTTGTAATTCTATAAAAATTAATCATTGCCGCTTTTCATAATGTTTCACCCTTGAGTTGTAAAGTAGATAATTTGAATTTAGGTACACAGGGTGTCTCGAATATGAAAAATTGATAGTGGTGATTGAATAAACTCAATCGTATTTAACTTAGACAAAGAGCATAGGATAGATTGAAGGTGTTATTTTTGCTTATCATTAAACGTTCATTTAACTTATCGCTAGTAGAGCATTTTCATCATTATTATTATTACAAACGTTCTTTCTACAAAATTTCAGTAAACCTTTCTTAGCGCATATAAATTCCACTAGTGCGCGCTTTAATCTTTTCGTCGGACAAGCAGTAATTTATTATTAAAATTTTCTATTTGACGCAGGCGGTAGGCAGCCGCCATTTCCCGCGGTGCCCACGAACCCTGAGCATCTAACAACCCGAGCCACTCTCTACGTGTACGTGTATACATATGGGTGTGTGTGTGTGTGAGTGTAACAGTAGAGAGAAAAGCGGCCACGGTTTCGAATAATAGAAGGCAAATAAATTTATAAACGTTGATTTATCGCGTTCTGCCATGTCTGAACTGCGACTACATCCCGTGATATATCGCCGAATATAAATACAGATTTAGCCGGGACACGGCGAAGGAGCAACTGCGTCTTGGCGGTAGCGACTCCTCTCTTAGAAAAATGAAACGTCTCCTATTTTTCTTTTTTTTTTTATTTTGTACTTATTCTGATAATTGCAGAACGAACAGTCCAAGTTTCCTATAGCTGTTTGTAAATGTCGATGTGCTTGTGGTTGTCTATTATTCAAATTCAAGTGTTCTTTTTCTTTCGCGCAAAACAAAAATGGCTGTATAAAAGAATGCAAGGGGTCATTATACGTGAAAAGAGCAGCACGGCCTAGAGCAAGGGTCGGCAACTAGAGTACCGCGGAAGGTCAAAAATTAGACCGCTGAAACTTTTTGGAAAGTATATATTACTCTAATAAATTGTTTAAAAAATGTTTTTCTGTAGATGACAAAGTGTGTTTGAGCTTTGAGTGCCACCCTTATCGTTTTTTGGAGGAAGGAGTATGTTTTCTCTGGAACATCGATTCCGGGTCCGTCTACTCTGGTCCAAGTTTTCCTGTGGTCTATTTATATCACTTAGGCAAATGCTTAGGTAGCAATATTCCACAGATAATCCTTTACTCTCTTCTGTCTTTATATCGTCTGTCTCATCTTTCTCACCCGAACCACCACCCATTTATCTCTACGATTCCGAACAGGAGGCTGAAGAGGGACTTCCCCTCCACTATTCGGCATGGTCCGGAGGAATTGACCGCCCAGCAGCTTCAATAGTTGGTGGGATTGAATCACCCAAAAGTTTTTTAAGACACATGAACCGAACGGCGTGACCTAGAAATTTAGACCATTCCTCAACATTCGGGAGGACACCGATTCGATTCCAGATCAGTCTACTCTGGTCCATAGTTTCCTTAAATCACTTAGGCAAATGCCGGGGTAGCAATATTCCGCAGATAATCCTTTAGTCTTTTCTGTCTTTATTTCGTTCGTCTTGTCTTTCACACCCAAGAGGTGAGAAGAAGAGGCTGAAGAGGACTTTCCACCCTACCATTCGACATAGTTCGGACGGACTGCCCGCGCACCAGCTTTAGTAGCTGCTGGGAATAAAGCACCGAAATGTTTTTTAGTTTTAATGACATATAAACCGAGCGGCATGGCCTAGAGGCTTAGACCATTGCTAAGCATCCGGGAGGATACCGATTCGATTCCGAGTCCATACACCCCGATCCAAATTTTTCCATGGCTTCCTTGAATCACTTAGGTAAATGTTGGGGCAGCAATATTCCACAGATAATCCTTTCTCTTCTGTCTTTATTTCATTTATCTCACCTTTCTCACCCAAACCACCGCCTATCTATTCCTAAGATTCCGAATAGGAGGCTGAAGAGGGCCTTCCGCACCACTATTCGGCATGGTCTGGAGGGACTGCCCACCCACCAGCTTCAATAGTTGGTGGGATTGAAAAACCCAAAGTCTTTTAGGTTTTTATGACATATGAACCGAGCGGCGTGATCTAGAGGTTTAGACCTCAGCATTCGGAAGGACACCGATTGGATTCCGGGTTCGTCTACCCTGGTCCAAGTTTTTCCATGGTTTCCTTGAATCACTTAGGCAAATGCTGCTAACTTCTTTTCATCTGTTTCATGTTTCTCACTCCAAACACCATCCTCCAGAAGAACTGCCCATTTAATAAAGATATCATCACACAATTTTTAATAATTACATAAAATATGTTAGATATCGGCGCTGAGGTTGTTGATGGGAAATGAATTTTGCTTAATTTTTCTTTATAGCTAACTTAAGGGATATCTCCCTAAATATTATGCGTATATCTTTGTATCTTTCATATTTGGACCACTTTTGTGTAGTGGTAAAAGGAAAATTAACATCGGTTCTCATAAGCTTTTGGTAGGATAAAGCTGAAAAGCTTAAAAGATGCGGAGTGGCGTGCGGGTGGGGTTAAATTAAAGGAACATCGTATAATGTTCGCGAAAAATTCCGGATCATAAACTTTTCTCGGGGTCTATTTTAATTCCGGAATTTATGGGCCGTATTAAGTAAACAAAACTTCCGTTTGATGGACGGCACTAGTTTGAGTTAAATTCATTCCGGCCACGAAGTAGGTCGCACAAAGAAAATACGAAACTAAATCTGCTTTGCCGGGGCCGGCGGACGTCCTTTCCCCCTTCCTCCACTACTTCACGACCGACGCCCGCCGTCCGCTTTTCTTTGCGAGATCGTTTATCAAAATATATCGTCACGGCATAACATGTTTTCGTGGGCGACGCAGAAGAAACCTTTCGAAAATATATCGGCGTCCGCCCGAAAGACTTCCTAATGAAAGCAGTAGAATTCTTCCGAACAGTGGCGGGCAACTTTTCCAAAGAATATCGGACCTTGGAGAAGGGAAAATAGAACAAACAAAAGAAACAAATTTTCGATCCAATAAATTCTCGAAAACTTGTCTTAATAACGTTCCGTAAATTTATAAGCGAATAAAAGGATCGAGAAAGTTGGAACTAATCTATGGGCTTTATTGGGCATTGATAATACAAAAAGAATCGTTTTTCAGGAATAATTTGAAAACATGAAAGTACAACAATAAAACATCAATTGAACTCTATTGTTCCTGAAAATTAATGTTTGAATAACCTCATAACCTCACTTTCTTATTTTTTACTTCAGAAAATACAAAGATAGATGAACGACAAATCTATTTTTAATAAATACATGTATAAAATTGTATTTCAATCAGAATAATCCTTAAAAGATCTTAAAATGGTCCCTAAGATTCAATATAAGATCTAATAAATATGAAACACTGACATTTAATAGGGGTTAATATCAAATATTAATGTGAAAATTCATTTTTAATTTTCAATCCTACTACAAACTACCTCAAGTTAATGAGGAAAAAATTTGTTGCTGTTGTCACACCCTTGCAGGGAATTGAGGTAGTTTGTAGTGGGATTGAAAATTAAAAATGAATTTTCACATTAATATTGGATATTAACCCCTATTAAATGTCAAAATATTTGATATTTATAGTATTAATATAATTACATTAGTTCGACAGATCTGTGACCTAATAAGTACGGTTTGTCATTGTTGCTGTTGTCACCTCTTGTAGTTAAGTGGTCAGAGCATTGGCGCGTAAAGCCAAAGGTCCCGGGTTCGATTCCCGGCAAGGGTGTGACAACAGCAACCAAAATTTTTCCTCATTAACTGGAGGTAGTTTGTTGCGGGATTGAATATTAAAAATGAATTTTCACAGTAAAATATATAAAATGTAACTTATAATGATTGTGATAAAAAGATTTTAATCGGTTTTGGAGATTGATTTTAAAGATTAAGTGTTGCTTACGTTCGGTATATTTTACATCACGGGAAACCTACACAGTTTTAAGGCGCCTTAAATGAATGAAGTTTTTCTTTTCTTATAGTACTTTAAGTTATTACTTTTTAAAACTGTAAAAGCATTTTGTGTCAAGTTGTTTTTGTTTTTATTCAACTTAATTACAGTATTCATAAATCATATTCAAAAACTAAATTAGTGCCCAAGTCTCATTGTTTGTTGTATTATTAGGAATGACAACAGGCATTTAAAGTACATATTTAGAAATGACTTGAATATTCTCACAAACGGAAGCCTGAGGCTGATCCAATAATAATAAACAATCTACCAAAAGAAAATGTCGATAAATTATTAGTTATTGACCGAATTTTTCAATTTCAATTGGCAAAGTTTTCTAATTGATGATCGTAATTATTCCAGAGTTTACGTGTGCCGGGAGCAAAGATGCAGCCTCAAGCCTCCTCGAGTGAGCCGGTGTTTGGTCCAACGTTACCAACCTTTCGGGGCCATCATCAGACACGTGAAACCGTACACGGACCGACCCTCGATGGACGCTTTTGCAATAAACTCATTCATTCTTTATGTGTGTAAATATAAATTCTTAAATGATAGTGACGTTAAATATCGAAATAGTGCAATGATGATGAAGAAGAAGAAGTGTTACAATAAGACTCGAAACAATTGAATGCGTTCGTCTTCGCCCTCTGGAAATCTCATCAATGCCACCTGACGTAAATAGTACCTACTAATGTAAGAATACGATACGATAAAATACCCATGAAACTGATGATTTGAAACGGATATACGTAATTAATGCTCCTTGATATTTTTACTTACTGTTTATAATAAATAATTATCTAACGCTTAATAAGTGTATGTGCTGGTAGGCTTTGTTTTTGTAAATAACTGACTTGTATGTAGACGTCGAGAGTATACCTACAACCGAATTTATTGAAAATTGCTGAATTTAACCAGCTACTAAGCAGAGTGTTAAACCATCAACATAATGCGTGTTGGTGCTAACAATTTCCCCAGTGTTGGCACGCAGTTCATACCAGTTATATTAATTATTAAAAAAACTATTATTGTTGGTCTGTACTGACACAAGGTCACAGCATATTAACACACAATAATTTAGCCAAAACGCTCTCCTAGCTTCAGTGGATGGTCAATTTCAGTACTTTTTATAAAATATGCTTGATAAATGCATTGGAAAGTTAAAAATTATAGGTCAGGTCATTAATGTTAAATGAACCGATCTAATTATATTGAAATTTTTAATGTTCTTTACAAAATATATCAAAATTTACTAATAAACAACTAAAGGTTTCTGCACACGCCAATACTTACAAAACAACTGCTCACTACTATGAGCATAATTCCAGTATTGTAATAGTACTTCGAAAGAGAAACATTCGCATAAAAATATAAATAATTATCCAGATAATGGGATGCACAGGTAAAGGAATTACACAGCATAAAGTATTAACAACATTAAAAACAAGTTAAAGTCTAGAATACTAAAATATGAAAATGTTGTTCAAATTCTATTTTCGTTAAAGAAGAAATTAATTCATTCACACGTACTAGGTATTTTAAGACGGGAAGAATTTACATGCACCCCATTGTACAGATATCGTGTACTTTTGGATATAGTAACGTAATTTATAGAAATATTTGTATATTACATGCAAAACAACATTTTATTCTTGTTTCGGTTTATACTTTTTTATTAGAGCAAAAAATCGAAAATAAAAGCACCTGAATTTTTAGACTAACCGCTTCGCTTCGTTCCGAACAGGGTTATGAATCTTAGGAACCCGAAAATAAGGAAAAACTATTTTTCTTTTAAAAACTACCGGGGTATTTATATTTTGGATTTAATTTAGAATGCGAAATTAATAAAAATTTTGAGTTTTTTATTAGGCCAATTTTTTCGTATTTGGGTTTAAATTTTTGAGATAAACATAAATTCACAATCTTACATAAAGCAGGAAAAAGGAAAAATGTTTTCTGGAATTTGCTGTATCATTTCTTATCCCGAGATAAAAATGTTCAGTCTCTCAAAGTCTCCGAAAGCGAGACTTGAGTCTCCGCCTCTCATCGAGCCTCTCCGGTGTCGCTGAGAGAGACTATCAAAAAAACTGTTCAGCGTCTCTGAACGAGAGATTTGAGTCGCTCATAGAGAGATCGTCATTTCGTATCTAGTTTATGAACGAGAGACTCGAATCTCTGAATTAACAATTTCATCGTTCGGGTGTCTCATACAGAGACTGTGAGAGATCTATAAAAACACCTAGGCAATAACTGACAGACTGTGAAAGACGCTCTCAAAGACGCTGAAAGACTGGAGAGAGACTGAAAAGTTTTGTCTAGGGATGTCATGAAAACTTTCAGCCCATACAAAACTTTTTCTAAAATGGCTACAATATGCAATCAATTATTGCTTCCAGAACTTTGTAAATGCGTAAATATGCAAAATCAAAAGTCAAATAATAAAAGAATTTTGTATTTACTTATTTGAAATATGGTCATATTAAAAAGTCATAGGTATGATTTTGTGAAACAGTAACAGTTTACTTTTAAAATTTTAGCCTAGCGAAGCGGTTGGTCGGTTAACTGTGAGTTTTTGCCATATTCTTATTTCCGTACTTCTTATATTTATATGTAAGTATAGGTACATAAAGCCCAACATACTGGAAAATGTAAGCTTGTCTTGATAACAATGCCAGCGGGTCATATTTCGAGAGTATGGAATTATTGTAATTCGAAGTTCGTATTTAGGCTTTAAAATTAATCGGTACTATTATTAACTGCAAAGCTTCAGAGCACCGCTTGTACTAATTTAGTTTTAGTTCGCATTTAGTTGTAAATGTGTAAGTAACTTTAGGCTAAAGCAATTGATAAGAAATTGTACATATAGGGCATTAAACAAAAAAAAAAACAATGAAATTGAAACCTCTTTGATGAATTTACTAGATCGATGTGTATGCGTTAAGGTACCTAATCGATATTAATAAATATAAATTAATTAGTGTAAAGAAAATTTGAATTGAAAAAATTAGATATTGTTGTTGAACAATTTATTTGCGAGAGATTGTCACGAAAACGTAAAGTACAACAGATGTATACGTAATTAGATTTAGGAAATACATGCTATTTAAAACTTATCGATGGAACCTGCACCTTGCAATCCAGTGTGTCAGGGCTGATTAACATCATTGTACAGGTCAAGGCCACAACTTACACTTGCTTTGACATACAAAGGCCACGACGAAAAACTGTCCACAGATGTCATTTTACAATGATGAGTTCGCATCTGGCCTAAGAATGCCCGGAATTTGTTATATCCTAACCTCACATTATAAAATATTCATTTTTTAACCATTTTGGCAGCATTACTATATAAAATAAATCGATAAAACGATTAAAAGATATATATTTTATCCCTGGATTTGAATCTAATACTAAAATTGTCCTAGCACATCAAGTTTTGGAAATATCTTAACATCAAAATCTCAGTGACGTTTTTCTGATTTGTTTGGTTTTGAGAAACACCCGAATTTTCAATAGGTACCCTAGAGCGTTTTTGGGATTAAACTGCAATTTGTCGTTGAACAATACCTGAGTTCTAATTATTGTTAAGAGTGAATACTCACCATAGTGTTTTCTTCGGCAGATTAAAGAAAACATACACGAAGTGGCTTTTGCAATTTTTGAAAGCAAACTCGAGTTTACTTTCAGAATATTACCATTTGAAGATACTCTAATCTCAATACCAAAAGAGCCAAATTAACATCCCTCAGACTTTGAGGTTAAGCTATTGAAAATCTTGATGTGTTAGAGCGATTCTAAGGCTAGACTACAATTCAGCTATAAAAGTCCAAAATAACCAGAAGAAACTTGATTATTTACTTTCCTGAGCTAATTTGGAAGTTCTTTCAGAATCGAAAACCGCGTTTGCCTTTTCAAGGCGGAGTTTCGATGACCTGTGTTACTATTTCATCAAAAAAACTATTATTTAATTGTTTGTAGCCATTGTATGTCATAATTAAGTGTGTTGTTGGCAAGCCTTTGATTTTAGTCATTTATCTTATGTAAATTTAGTCGTACGTTATTGGTAAGCGAAAAGAATTGTACAGTTTTAAAATTGTTGAAACGCTGGATGAAAGAAGACCCACACAAATAATTTGAATAGTCTTTCTTTTTGTTTCTGTTCTTTCTTCTAAACTTGATATACGTAAATGTATTTATCTACCTCCAAAAAAAAAATCGTAATTACTAATAAATATTTGTAAATTTTGAACATATAGCTTAATTATAATCAGAATAATAAATTATTATAAATAAACAGAAACCAATTCCGATCCACCGTTCCAGAATTAAGTAATAAATAAAACCGGTTATTATACAAATCGAATATTTCAAATAAAACAATTAAGCTTGTTAATAATAATAATATCTACTGTAATAATAATAATGAAAATAAAATTGCAAATATTTTAGCAGCCAAATTTCAGTGTAAATAATGCTTCATGTAGTTAAGAGTGGTGGTTCAGTGCACTAAATTATTTTTATTTCAACATACAATCATACATAACATTTTGTTAAAAATTACTTGATTTTATTCATTTTATTATTAAAAAAGGTTCTGTTATTGCCGATTGTTATTTCATAAATTTTCAAAAATGAATTAACCATAGTAGAATTCAATGATCCAATGTTAAATTTTTCCTTTGCAATAGAAAGTAGCGCCG